AAGGTTGGAGCAATGGGGCAGTATTTGGCAACCTGTTGATGAGCCCTGTGTCATTCGAGGTTTCCGAGAACTCCGTGAAGATGCCATTGCACAGGCTAGGGACATGCAAGCCATCAACCCCATCAGTCTCCAACGAGTCATCAAGAAATTGCCCAACAAAGCCTCAGGTCCAGATGGGATCTCTTATGACTTCCTCAAGCAGCTCCCTTTTGAAGCTGTCACTCAACTCGCCAAACTGCTGAACATCATGGAGCAGGAAGCGCTTTTGCCCACTCAATTGCGCATGGTCAGCATTGTCATGATCCCAAAGAACCCCAAAGTGGAGAGGCCCATTGCTTTGACTTCATGTCTTTACAGGCTATGGAATCGGGTCAGGAAACAGGACATTGTCAAGTGGCAGCTGTCTCTCGACTCCATCATGCCCTGGGACCATGCACGTCCTAAGAAGGATTGCCTCTCCATTGCAGTCGGGAGGATGCTTCAAAGCGAGCTGGGCAAACACAACAATATCCACACCGTCACTTGCTTAGCAGACCTCAGTTGCTTTTATGACACTGTCACCCTGGACAATCTCATCGCCCCAGCGAGAGAACTTGAATATCCTCTTCTCCACTTGAAGCTGGCCATCGACCTTTACCGTGGTCCGCGCATCATTCAAGCCGAGGGCATCACCAGCAATCCACAGCACTACCAAAAAGGAATCCTGCAAGGGTGCCCTCAAGCACCCGCCATTGCAAAGCTGGTGCTCTACAAGCCACTCAAGGATCTGGTCAAAGACCACCTGGCCGTTCTTCTGCAAACATGGGTTGATGATGTCTCCTATGATGTCCGTGGTCATGACCCCATCTACGTCGCCACTGAAGCTGTTCAAGCTTTCAGATCCTTGCAGCATCATCTAACTCAAGCAGGACTTCGGCTCAACACGGACAAAACTGGTTTCCTCACGAGTTCCAAAGAAGCTGCGACAGCTCTGAAAGAAATCCTTGGCCCCGGAGATCCTGAGCTTCATGATGTTTTCAGAGATCTTGGCATCGAGGCAACGGCAAGCAAACGCAGAAGAGTTGCCATGGTCAAGAAACGCTTCAACAAAGGCAGAGCAAGGACTGGAATAGTTCACAGATTGAAGCTCAACCCGCAGATCAGGTATCGATTGCATCGAGGAGCTATTCATCCAGTCATGACATGGGGAGCTCAAGCCCAAGGACTCGCTCCACAAAGAAGACAGCACATCAGAGTCATTGCTGCCAGAGGACTCCGGCTACAGAAATCAGGCTCTGTTGACATTGTCTATGACATGAATCAAAAACATCCTGATCCAGGAGACTCCATTGTTGCGCAGCATGTACACACGATCTGGAAGATCTATCATAGCTTTGACGAATCTAAGCAGCACCTCTTCAAGTCCAGCTGGAACCTCTCGCTCGCCACACTCCAGCAAGCCAAGTACAAATGGCAGGTGGTAAAAGGACCTCTTCAGGCTCTGCAAGCATATCTCTTGGACTATGGCTTCAACCTGCAAGACGGCAACAACTGGAGCAGACCGGGGTTTGGAGCCATCCCGGACTGCAACATTTCTTTGGATATGATGTGGCCCGAGTTGTCCATGAAGCTCCAGGAGGAATTTCGTTGGCAACGCCTCATTCGCATCACCAAGTACAACGGTTGTGAACACCTCGAACAACCATTGGATTGGACCATCAGCTTGAAGTTGCAGAAAGAAACAAGCGACAAGATGGCCATTGGTTTGAGAGCTTTCCATCAAGGAACTCTTCATGGGGTTCACGGAAACTGCCCCTTGTGCGGAACGGAGCTGACCTTTGTTCATCTTCTTTGGGAGTGCAGCTTTTGGGAAGGCAAGGTCAAAGACATCCCTGATGAGTGGAAAGACCGCATCACCACAAACTCTGAGCCCGAGCTTTGGAACCGCGGTCTCTGCCAAAAGGCCTTCCTGGAACGACATGGAGGACCCTCTACCTTCATTGGCACAGGTAAATGGCAAGATCTTCATCCTTGCAGAGTCAATCATGGTCATGCTTGCTGCCTCGATGTAGCCCTCACCTGTGCGGACAAAAGGCACCAACAATACACCTTTGCCATTGGCATCTTTGAGATTGCGACCAAAGAGTGTGTGGCTTCGATCACTGGCCTTTGTCCTGGGGAAGCCACTAAATTGAGGGCTCTTTTCTATGCCACCAAGCATTTGGCTCTTCACATCCTCGATCAGGCGCACGTCGGGGTCTCCAGTCTGCAATTGTGGAAAGCGTGGACGCCACATGCTGCCTTCGAGAAGTTCCCTGACTTGTATCAAGGCCTGGAATTTGAGGATTTTGACACGTTGAGGCCACTCCTTTTCATGAGTCACCTCCAACAAGAAGAAGGCATGAGAACTCGGAAGGCCCTTCAAAGGTCCATCAAGGCCATGGCCCAACAGAGGGCACGAGAAGAAGTCCCAAAAGATTTCTTAGCCTACCAGAAGGCCACTGATGAGGACCTTGGTGACATCCTGTTGGTTGCTGCTGAGCGGATGGACATTCTCCTCAAGGATCCCAACCATTTCTTGAAGAAGAAGACGGAAGTCGATCCTCAGGACTTGTCAAGCAAAAACGGGACCTCGTAGCACATGTGCTTCAGAACAGGGAGCATCAAGGACACCAGTGGGAGCCTCACAGAAGCGGAGCGCAATGCTCCCAGTGCAGGACCAAGATCCACGTGAAAAGCCTTCTCCAGGAGATCAAGCAGGCCATGGCCAAGGCTTGCACGGAGCCGGTGATCTTCAAGGCACCCAAGGCTCCGAGAATGACGGTGATACAGCAACTCATTGACGCTCAGGAAGAACCACAGGACGGCATCCACTTTTTGAGGCTTGACCGTGCGTACCTACGGTGTACAAAGTGCCGTTCCTATGTTCTTGCAAGGACGAATGAGTCCGCTTTTGAAGCTTTTGTGGGAGAAGTTTGCCACTTTGGACCACTCTCCCTTTTCCGACTGGGCAGGTCACAAGTCGCACCGAATGCAGCGACAAGGCATGATGGCAGAATGCCTCAAATGCCATGCCAGAGGTCGGTTCGTTGAAGGACAGATTTCCGTGAGCAAGAAGCTCAAGGACCCTTGTCCAGGCGGTTCCCAAGACATCCGCCAACTCTTTTAGCACGCATTGGCGCGGAAAAGAATCGTGTAAAAAAATGTCAATATGTTTTTTTCAAAGCAGGGCTGTGACAGGATGTTGCAGGTCACCACTGGCCCTGCAACAGGCTGACCATCCAACACCCCAATCCGGAGCGCACCCTATATGCAAACGGATCGAACGAATCCGGCAGAGGGTGACCGGATGGTGGCTCACACACGGTAGCACATGCTCACATTCAAATCCCCAAGGCGCCAAAAGCGGCGTCCTTCGACAACCTCAGTGCACTTGCAGATTCGCTCATTCCATAGTAGGCATAGTCTGGCCGCTGGCCTCGCCTAGTCCCTTCATCCAACGGGGCAGCTGAAAGTTATGTTGATAGTTATGTAACTGGATGAATTTTGGATCATTCGGCTTTCCATCGAAGCCATCAACAGGGCAAACTGAACAGCAACCCTTGCCGTTTTTTTTGTAATTAGATTGCCCACTTGTCACATCTGCTAGGCCTGGTACATGGTCAGGCCATGGTTGGGCCAACCTACGCGTGAAGTGGTGCGATTTGTGCAGTCGGAGCAGCCTGAGTCGGACTGATCCGACAACGCAAGTGGCTCTAGCACAACGCCTTGGGCACCTGCTGAATACAATCAATTCACAACAACATACAAGAACACCGTGGGAATGGCCGAAATCTTCTTCAACAGGTTCCCGCTGCCACCCAAGGACGGGCACCAGGCATTTGTCGCCCTGAAGCTCCACCCTTGTGTGCAATTCGTGTTTTGCCAGTTTTGCTGTTTGCCTTTGTCGGTTGTACAGCGTTTGCTGAAGGCTCAAAGGATCTCAGACCGACACTGACACCCAGACTGTTTTGCGACTTTTTTGCATGTACAGATCTCCGTCTCAACCTAGGCACACGAATGTTTGGCTGAAACAGCCTTTCTAGTGGGCTTGCGATGAGGCATTTCTCTCGCAGGTTTTGGCATGGTGAAGTCGATGCTAAGACTTGCGGCCAGCTACCCAAATGAAGACCACAACATCGCTGCGAAACTTAGCTCACGGCCAATTTATACAATTTGCGTGTTGTCTTGTCAGCAAATGCAAAATCCCAGGCTTTGCTGCACGTTGGCTTTGGCCAACACTGAAGTTCGTCGTATTTGCACACCTAGCCACAAGATGCTGCAAGAACTTCAAGAGCAAAGCCTGGGAAGTCTCCAGACTTCAGACACTTCCCAGACCCATCTTTCGGAGTTTCATTTCTAGGGAGTTGGTCTCGGCAAATACTTTCAGCACAGTGGTGAAAGCCATTGTCTTGCTCCAGTGCTTATGGTCAAGCAGTCCTTTCATTCCATCCAGTGCTGATCAAAACACGGCAAGATGAGGAAGAATGCATGTGGGAATAAGACGGTGTGCGGATGACTTTTCTATAAAGCAGCCGCCAAATTCTGGCAGGCAGGCTTTCTTGTGTTCAGGGTCCGTGGAGCGTGAACGTTTTTTCTGCTCCTGGCCTTTCGGTTCGCACCTACAGTCATTGGGCTAATGGACCCTCTGGGACAGACATTCGGCGAAGTTCCAAATATGTTGCGTTTGTTTGCAAGTTGCCTCGGTCCCCTTTAGCTTTGATAATGGTAAATAGGAGCATTCTTCTCAGCAGAAATGGCAGTCAAGTGATTTGGACCCTTTAGTAAGTAACAAGAAGCTACTAGTAGCAAATGGCATTACTACTAGCAACAAGAAGCTACTAGGGGCTCCTGGCATCGCTACTAGGAGAAGGACGCTACTAGGGGCTCCTGGCTTTGCCACTAGGAACAAGAAGCTATTGTCAAATTCTTGTTGATTCTTTTCTTTGTGTTGTAACCACCGACACTGCCGAACCATCCAGGCTCAGGTGGCCTCCTTGAGGTCATCAACACCATTTGCACGCCACTGGGCGAATCGGACATGATTTATAGCCATTCCAAGGATATCTAAAGACAAATAGAGTGTAGATTTGCTACTACTTATCACGAAAGCTAGCATCAGCTAGCTGGAGTTGCTCTTGCTTTAGCAAGTCAAGGGCTCGCAGCCTCGAGAATCATGAATCACGTGAAAACTTCACGTGTAGGGGGGCCCCCCCCTGAAAAGTAGAGCCTACCTGTACAGGGTTCCACTCCAACAGCTGATATAGTGTGTCCATGCTTGACTGCCTCAAGGCTCAAAGAGCAAGAGGATAAGACTCTGCGCATAAAAGACACTAGCGGTCTGCACCTCTACCGTGTACGCCCTAGTCACTCTTTCAGTGGTAGCGGAGCCTTGAGCCAAAATGGCTACGTGAATAGGCATGTGAGAAGAGAACCAGCAGCAATAGCAATGACAACACAGGTCACTACAAAGGTGCCCCCATCTTATGATGGAAAGACTTTATGGTTTTCCTATGAGGATGCCATAGACGATTGGTGTGATATCACCGAGCTGGAAGATGAGAAGAGAGGACCAGCATTGAGAAACAGATTAGAAGGAGAAGCAGCTGTATACAAGCGTGTTTTAGACAGAGATGCATTGAAGGCAAATGATCCACCAGGAGCCGGCGTAGAATATTTCAAACGAGTACTACGACCATATTTCGTGAAAGGATCAACCAATGTATTCCTGTATAGATTTATGCAATTTGTGCGCTTCAATCGAGGATCAGCTGACATGATGAAATGGATGACAAGATTCCAGATTTTACTCCAAAGGCTTATGAGCAGTTGGATGGACATGTTAGAACCAGTCACTCAAGCACATCCACAGGTCCTAGCTCAGATGCAGGCAGATGCAGCGTTGACTGGAGTAGCACCAACGGCAGAAAGGATTCAGGAAATCATGCAGACCATCAATGGCAATATGAGGACTTTTCATCAGAACGAATTTCCTCTAGGAGAAAATCTCATTGCCTTACTCATGCTGTCACTTGCAGATTTGTCTCAGGACCAGCGAAACACTTTGACTTCCTTGATGACTCATCGTGGCAGGGTCCTGCAGCAATACACTACAACAGAGTTGAGGACAGTGTTCATCGAGATGTTCTGCACGACAAAGACTTCAGTAGACAATCCTTTGATGCAGCCGACAGGTGCTGGAGGTAGAAGATCATTTCTCGTACTAGACGAAGGAGAACTCGATGGTACATTTGGCTATTGGGCCGAAGATGAAGAAGATGGAACAGAAGGATTTTTAGATGCCCTGGACGATGTCTTTTGGGTATATGATGATCAAAACTTCTCGTGGTTCCAAAGGAGATTCCAAGGAAGAAGAGCCAGAAAAGGCAAAGGAAAAGGAAGAAGAAAAGGAAAAGGTAAAGGAAGATCAGGCCGCAGATTTTTCAGACCTCGTGGAAAAGGAAAAGGAAAGAGACGAGGTAAAGGCCATTTTGCTGATGAGCAACAGACAACTTATCCAGATGAGTACTTTGAAGAGAATCCTTATGAGGACACTTGGGAGTCAAACCAAGTAGCATATGATGCCATTCTTGCCGAAGATATGAATGACTATCTTCAAGGAGAATATGATGATGCCAATGACTTTTGGCAACAGCTTGAAGAAGCATGGTTTTCCCACAAAGGAAAAGGAAAAGGCAAGAGAAAAGGCAAGAAAGGAAAAAGAAAAGATAAAGGAGATGGCAAACAAGATGCAAACTATGCAAATCAACAACAGCCACGTTCTTTGCCTGCACCTTCAAGATCTTCACAAGCATCAGGAGGTCAACAAGGTTTCTTTGCACATTGTGTGACAGCAGCAGCTGAAGTCCATGACAGTGAGGTGGACTTGCTGTCAGGCATGATGACCTCATGTCAAGATGAAGCTGACTGCGCGGTCAACAATGGTGAGACGATCTTCAATGGCATGAGTGCCCCTGTGAGGTACTCTTTGTCAAAGGAGATGCTCACAAATGCTCCTGATGGCTTTGCGCTTATGAGCGCTGAGGAAGAAGTGAAGGAGATGCAGGCCATTTCATTTTTGACTGAGAATCGCTTCCCGCCGACTATTGCAATCCTGGACATTGGATGCACTAGAGCTATGGGATCAAGGCGAGCAGTCGACCATTTTTGCAACTATGTCGAAAATCACCCAGATTGTGGATTATGGTACTCTTTTGAGTCTACCAAGAGCAAGTTTTACTTTACCAATTCCCAGAAGGCTACTTGCTCTCAGAAACTGGTGATTTACATGTATGATCGTGCATGGACGATCCACCATACAGAGTTCGACATAGTGGAAGAAGGAGAAGTCCCTTTGCTTATGAGCTTGCCACAGATGAGGAACTTAGGCTTTGAACTCAGGCTGACACCTCAACATGCTTATCTGACATCGGTGCCTCTTGGTATCAAATATTTGGAGTTGAAGGTTGCAGCCAGTACTCATCTTGTCTTGGACTTCCAAGATATTGCATGGTATCTGTCTGACGTGAATTTGCAGACTCGGCGCGAGAAGAGTTTTTACTCTCACTTCACTCACTATGAATATGGTCATATTTCTGTTGATCACAATAGTGATGAAGATGTAGCTGAACATGCATATCCTGTGGTTGACTACTGGGAAGTAGATGTTCACAAGAGAGAACTGATACGTCACCACAAGGATTATAGAAAGATTCTTTTTCCAGCAACTAAGTCCTGTCCTGTAGACACTGACTTACTGGAAGACTTGCGACTGACAATCATCAAGAAGAAGAAAGGAGGAGAAGAAATCAAGAAGCTAGATGATTGGCGCAAGGCAAAATGGAAGGACCTACAAATTGGCTATGAATGGCGTGGTAGAACAATTTTTAAGTTCAAGCCAGATGCCAAAATTCCAGATCTAAAGATCAGGAAGGCTGGCATTGAGCACCGTGGCGTTGGTGATCCCGATGCAGTGGTGCGCTCCTCCTCAGAGAAGGTTCCCATTGCAAAGGACAGGGAACCAGGCTTCTCGTCAGAGAAGGAAGGTGCACCATCAAGTGCCGCGGAAAAGCCCGTGCCGCCAAAGTTTCGGTATACTTCCAAGGGTTTTGATCCATTTTGGAAGGGACACAAGTCGAAACCATCTGAGCCTCAGAATGATTTAACGGGTGATGATCTTGAGGAGTATGCTCCCTCAGAACCACCTGAGAGGCCAGAAGGTGAGCTTGTAGAAATTCCTAAAGCATCAAAAGGACAATCAAGTGATAAACATGAACCACTTGAACCAGGTGATGGCGCTCTTGAGCCTAGGCGGATTTCAATCCCATTACCTGGTAGTGAAGTTGTTGCAATGACACCGGCATATAGGAAGATGTTACAGAGACTGGAGGACAAGGTAGAGCTTTATAAGCTTCATGTGAAGCACTACCATATGAGTCCTACTCAGTTTCGTAGACGTGTTTCTATGTTGAAGCTTCCTGACTCTGTTTTAGAGAAGTATGAATCAGTTGTCAGGAATTGCCGTGTTTGTAACACTTCAGTGGCACCTCCGCCACGAGCCAGAGTCTCCGGTATTAGAGCTTCATGTTTCGGTGATGTTGTTTTTGCTGATCATTGTGAGGTTGAACTTCACAAGAACAAGTATATCATCTTACTTGTTCTTGATGGTGCCACAAATCTTCTCTGGGCTACGGCACAGAAAGACCTCATAGATCAAACCACCATCCAAGCATTGAGGCAATGGTCTGATGAGAACAACTGTGTTCCAAAGGCCATCGTAGGAGACGAAGCCTTTTTCACCGATGCTTTTGTTGAATACTACAGGTTCCATGGTATACAACAATGTCCTTGTGGGCCAAGAACTCCTTGGCCGAACCGAGCAGAGACAGCTGTACGTTTGTTCAAACGTATGTGGCATGTTATGAAGGTAGATCTGGATGACCCACGTTTTCGTGGTGTTACGGTCAGAGAAGTGGTCAAGAAGGTAGTTTGGGCAAGAAATTGTCAGTTGACTATCAGTGGATATTCACCAATAGAGATAGCAACTGGAAGACGTCCACCAGATCTTTTTGACCTTGAGACCGCAAGCCCTGAGCAATTGTCAGCTAATGCCGCCGCACAAGATCGTACAAATTTGGAACTACAACGTGTGGCTTTGAGAGCTCATCAAGAAGCACGACAAGCTCAGGACCTTCGAGCAGATCTTGCGAGAAGGACTATGCCAAGTGACGGTCCTTATTTCCAAGGAGAGAAGGTTTTTGTTTGGACTCAGGATTCATCAAAGTTCAAGGATAAAGGACGTTGGGTTCGTGCCACAGTACTTGGACAAGAAGGAGCTATGGTCCAAGCCAATACTGGTAAGGCAGTGATACGTGTGAATCAGTCAAAGGTTAGACGCGATCACGATGAGTGGCATGATGTTTCCATACCGGCATTAGACGATGAGAATCCGGAGAACTTGCGTGAAGATCACGAACTGTATGTTGATGCCGAATTCGGAGAACAGTCCTTTTTCTTCTGTAATGATGATCATCCTGATGTTGTTGAGTTACTTCATGGAAACAGTGGATTATCTTGGTTCCTTTCAAGGAATGGTGTTAAAGTTGCATCTCCTATGGATTTCAAGGCAGGATACAACTTTTCCACTATGAAGGGTCAAGATGGTATTTGGCAGCAACTGGAGAGATTGCAGCCCCACTGTATAGTGATCAACAACCCTTCTCCCAAACAGAACAGAGCTTCTATTTGGTTGCTATGTTGTAATGTGATTGAGTGGCAGTTGAGAAGAAAGAAACATGTGTTTGTGACTGTTCCCAAAGGAAACAAGTTTTGTTTGTTTTTGCAGAAGTTCATTTCTTCGTTGAAGGATCCGATTTTTAACTTTGATGTGAATATGAATTGTTTTTGTTATTGTCCGAAGGGAATGAGTTACGTGACAGTCTTCCATTCCTATGCATCCTGCCAAGGATGGAAAGGTATTGGTGACTGTTCACTTCAAGCTAAAACAGTGCAAGCCACTAGAA